ATCACCCTCCGCGACCGCGACTCGACCAAGCAGGTCCGCGCCGACGAGGACACCATCATCGCGGCCATCCAGAGCCTCGTCACCGGTGCAAAGGAGTGGAAGGACGTCGCGGCTGAGCTCCCTACGTTTGAGAGCCAGGAGGTTGATGTCACTGTCCGGTAAAAAAACAGAAATGGCAGCAGCAAAAAAAGAATTTTTCATATGGATACCATGTTCCCCCCCTTATTTTTTGTCCGTCACAAAGGGCCTCTCTATAGAGATAGAGAAAGAAAGAAATAGGTGGATGTTGAAAAAGTCCGTGGGAGGGGGGATTGAAAAAAAGAAGTCGCCCAGAAGCGACACCTGTAGACAATCTCAATTGAGCCTTTGTGGATTTGAATCATTTCCTGATACCTTGTCGGTGCGTCCTCATGCCCTGGTGTACCTCAGGTATGATGGAATTTCGTATCGCCTTCCTACCCTTCTTCACACGATGATCCGAGGGAGCTGCCTCACGCTGTGTTGTTATTTCAGGCATAGGGAGGCCCTTTCCGTTCGTGTCTGGCAAGAGCTGTATACCTACACAAGGGAGCATCCCATGTAGCATAATGTAACTTCCTTGGGGCCGCTACAAATGAGTGCGTATTTGACTCTCGCAGGTTTTCAACGAAGAGGCTGTGAAAACTTTGTTATGCTACCCTGAGATGTATCTGTTGTAGTAGAGGTTCATTTCATCTTATAGTAGAGACCATGTCACGTTCTGAAAGACTTTCCCTCTTCTGCTTATCAAGGGGGAGCGAATCGTGAATCAAGCTCACACTCGCACGAGCGTGAAAGAAGATTGGAAACAAAGGGAGGCGACACTTTGGACGCGAGCAGCTTTTGTTCTTGAGGCATACTCACTAATGTGCCGCTGTTGCGTTGTCCGAAAAGAGGGGGTGCGTTTCCAGACTGTCTTGTGAATACGGGATCGCCGTCGGGGATGTAGTGGAAGAGGGGTTTCAAGAGGACTTCTCCTTCGGGTTTATTGATGTTTTCTAGATGCTATACGATCAAAAAGATCGTGAAAGGGTGCAACTTAGCCAAACGCAAAATGACTGACCTGTACGATTCACCCCAGAGTGACCACAACTTTAGAGGAAGAGGCGAAGACTTCCCCACCTTACGTTCTACCCTGTATTCTCTCTTGTTTCATGCTGAAGAACACGAGCTGGTCTAGATGTCAGGCCTCGGTGTAGATTGTCTACCCTGATAAAATGGCACGTGACCTATTCGAGACGGGCCAGCGGGAGTGTATCCCGTAAAGTGGACCCCCCGGACCCGAGAGGGGCCGGGTTTACGGGGACAGCGTGGTGACTGACGCCCTTTGCCCAAGTGATGCAAGGAGGCGACTTGAAGAGCCCACGCTAAGCGCAGTGAAGTTCCTTAGGCGACATTCTCTTCACGCCATTTCCCAGGTCAAAAGGACTTCTTGACTTCAAAGCTGTACAACTTAGAGCGGGCAGAAATGAATCAATACCTATACCTACTCGGACAATGTTCATGTTGAGATGGTGGTGAATATTGGCCAGCTGGTGACGGTCCGACCGAGTGGTCAGGTTTCACGACAGTCATTGCTAGTACTGACGTGGATGCCCTCTACGGGAATGGCATGACACCTCAGAGGGGTCTGGACCAGGGGCTTGGAGTAGCATACCACCGAGCCCATGAAGCGGAAGGCCGGCTGCTTGAAATGACATTTTTCAAGCACACTTTGCTGTGACGTCGGATGCCAAGCGTGTTGAGCGCCGGGCACTTCACCGCGTTGATGCGGCCACGGCAGCGGCGAGCCCGACTTATACCACCTTGGTAGCTGCAGAAACAAGAAGTCCAAGTGATGCTCAGGGGCAAGTTGTGCATCACATCTTTTCATCGCATCTCAAATCTTTCGTCTTGGCATCGAAGGAAATGAAGGGGAGGACAGGTCGAGGGCGGCTATTCCGACTCGGGAGGCAACGTCAAGGGGGCAAACCGGAGGCTTGAACCTGCGACAGATCCGCGGTATTGGAAACAAAACTGAGCAGTTTGTCCACGGGCCGTTTCGCTCGATCTTTGGCTGGAGACTGAGAGGCGACGTTAGACGCAAATACGACCGAATACATAGAACATCTAATTATTCTAATCCCCGGAAAAGTTGTTAAATGAACAATGGTTACGGTGACAACGCCCAAAGTCACCGTCTTCTCGCCGATGAGCTTAGAACATATTCGAAGGCCAGCATTGTTCTTGGGTGCACGGGACGGTGGATGGCTGATCTGCCAAATTGCGTCGCACCCAAGCAGTAGATCTGGAAACATCAGTGCAGACGATGCGAAATGCAGCCCTGGTCTATGTCTTGTGCGGGTATGATGTGCAGGTCTGTGTTGTATGCAGAACATCGCAGGCTGCCTCCCTCTTGTGCCGTGCTGGGATGGAAAATGCAATGGAAGATTCCACGGTATGTGAAACACTCCACGGCCGTCGCCGTGGGATGGGCGAGTCGTTGACAGGAGGCGTCGCTGCAAAAGCGAGGCACGTTCCTCCATCTTCTGTGGATCGTAGATAGCCAGCCGCTTTCGAGCACACCCCAAGTTGAAGGTCTGTGGATGTTTTGGGCCTCGGGCGGCTGTGGGGGACCAAACCATGGGATACTTCAAAACAGGGTCCTAGGCTGCTTCGATTCGGGCGATGCCGATTTGAGACTTGAGAGTGTTCGTATGGGATGCCAGGTTTGCCTTTCCGCACTGTGACTGAGAACCCGTTTCTTAACCTGTGCTGAGCTGCGTGGTCAATTGTTCCGCGGCTCAGCTGCAGCTACTTTTGTTTTCCGAGCACCCGGATTAAATCGTTGGCGCGGAATTGATGCTTCGCATGCCACTGCTCGTGAGGACCAAATGGCAACATTGATCCCATCAGACCCGTGTCTAGACTGGAAGGGGGTGAGAGCAAAACGTCTCTTAGGCCGTGAGACACTAAAGACTCCTGTTGCCATGGAATACCCTTAATGTGAAGGCGCTGCATATCTTCGATGCAGCGACAGCAGAAATCCGAAACATCAACAGATTGCTGTCCGCTGTATTTGTGTGAGCACCGGTATGGCGCTGGTGGGAAGCATGAGGATGATCAATAATCGGAGTGCAGCTGGCGTGCTTGAGCAGTGAGCACTGGTAGGCAACTCGCTGCTGGTCTTGAATTACAAGATTCGAAAAGGGTTTGGATGTTTCCAGCATTGCCTTTAGGGTATGCAATGTGCCATCGGTTGTACCAGCCACAAATGTTCTAGTCTTGTCAAGTTTCGAGGCGTCGACCAGTGGCTGCGTTTCGATGGCTGCAGTCGATTGCGACTCGCTGGGTCTTTGTAGGAGAGGAAGTAAAAATTAGTAGTACTTTCCCTGTCTAGACTGGACGACGAGCGGCGGCTTTCTTAGCCTGTGAAATGCCAGCCTAAGCTGTGATAGATGACAAGATGACAAGGCCGTGCCTCTAATCGCTGGCAGTAGGCTTGTCGCTCGTCGCTTCCGATTACGGCAATTTCTTGTTTCTGCGTCCGTCTACTGAGATGGTGGATGCTTGGGCATTGGGTTTCCTTGATGGAGGGCCAACGGATCTTGACGTCGTGTGCGCATGATATCGCGTCGTAGAGTTGCCGTCAATAAGGTGTTCGTCAAGTTACCGAGAAACCGAGACGAGGCGGAGAGAGTCAGGCTTGATGTCATGTGGTCTGCTAGAGGAGACGGGACGACAATGTGTTGCTCAGTTGGGGAAGTTTAGTATCCATGTAGATTGCGTCTGAGACGGAGACTCTCAGGCGCAGGGTCGGATCGAGGGGTACACAGAGACGGGCAACAGTAAACGCGTCGGTCTTCGATATCAGCGTAGTGTCGTGTGGACTCGTTGCAGGCTGTTGGAAACGAGAAGGGACGAAGTTGCAGAAGGAGGGCTGTTCCTCCGAAGGGTGGATCTTGTTCTGCATGGAAGCAATCGGGAGCGAAGAAGAGTGTTACTACACTTTTACTTCATAGCTGTGTGTGTGGAAGCTAACGACGCCATTCCCAATTCTTCCACGGCCCATCACCCTGTTCGGTTCCTGCTTCCAGCGCCCATGTCCACGCGACGCCAGCATCAGCCCTCTTACTTGGTCAGTACTAATGTACGGCGTACGGTCACGTACCAAACCACACAACAAACGTGGAGCATCCGTGGGCTTCTGGTTCTTCCTCTGGGTCACTGGGTGTGCTGGTCGACAGCGGGCGGGACCTTCATGTCCCTTGCACAGTGCTTCTTTATCGGAAACGAGCCAGCGGGCAACTTGAAGGACCTCAGCTGGGGCATTTTGGGAGATTCTTCGCTCCCACCCCGCTATGACGTCTCACCATGTAGCGCGAGGTCGTGACTTCCATTCTCAGTATCGGCTGCTAGGAAGGTGTGTTTTGAGCCTTTGGTACCAGCATGCCGTCATATGCCAATCGGAAAATATCTGCGGCTTCTCATCTTCGACGACATTGCGAAAAATTAAGGTAGCGGCAGATGGAAAGGATATGATGACACGGGAGCTGCACCCAGAGGATTCAACGCCAGTCGCGGTCAGGGTGAGATCGTCGAGACGGCGTGCCAGTCTAATGAGAAGTGTGGTACGGGTAGAGAGACAAGTCGCAGTAGCTCAGGGGGTAACCAACAAGCACCGTATGTTTGCCCAACCAGCGACAGAGATCATTGGCGATACTTTGTGCTCTCGATCTGAACCGGGGCGGGCCTTGGAAGGGGAAAAAGGTTGAAGGACCCGTGGAGGTCGCAGGGCTTTTGGAAGGTCGAGAATCGAGAGTCAACTTCAGAAGCTCAGTCAAGTGTCGGCCCCCTTCCCCACCGGCGAGACCACCTTACCTACGACCCGACGTGCTGCATCGTCTCCTGATTCGTCGACCCACGCGGGAAGTCTACTGTGTAGTGTAAGGTACTGCCTTCCCTCCACTAAGGTACCTTCCGTGCTACCTAAGGTAGTCATCATGCAACCTAACTTGAGGAAGGCACCTTGGGTCACGGTACGGAGTACGGAGTATCGGGGCGGCAAATAGGAAGTCGGTTGTTCCTTCTGTTTGACACTTTGACTACATCGACCCCTGGCACCTCCCTCTCCCCCAAAAAGATGTCTGGCGCTAGTTGAGGTTTGATGTGTGAGATGGGAAGGAGAGGTCGGACAGGCACCTGCCAGAACCGCTGCTGCAGAATAATGTGCAGCCTGAAAGAAATGGAGGAAGGCAGCAATTAAGGTACATGGCCTTCCTGCCTTGACTATCGTATTAGAGATGGAAGGAAGAAGGAAAAGTTTTAACATGGAAGGAACAGAGACTTAGTAATTCTCCTAGTGTTCCTGCCCGCTGACCCTCTCGTCATTTCCGCATCTGCAAACTCTACCGTGAACTGCGGAGACACAGCAGACAGCCGAAATCCTCGACTGACTCTTTCCAATCCGTACATCGTCTTTGCGCCTGTAAGTCCGTCAGATCACCGTACCGTCTGACAGACCTGAACTTGACCGTCAGTGCCTCGGCGCTTGATGAAAATAGACCGAGACAGACACGGAGACGATTCGATTCACAAAAAGGACCCCTTGACGCCCTACGTCGTTTCCCCGAATAGCATCGACACATCACGCCTTGGCCCTTCCAGCCTGCCCAAACCCCGGTCTACCACAGTAATATACCCTGCTTGTTCGGATACTCTAGACGGATACACAGGTCTATTCCCCTGCAGTCGACAACATCCATTCATCTTTGCCGAGGCCAAAGACATCGAGGTTGAAAACGAAGCAGAGAGAGATTGTCTCTTGAACGTGAGACAAACCATCTCGAGAGTATCTATTATCTGTCTTTGGTTTGCTGACACTCCGCGCACTCCCAAGAGCCTTTCAAGACTTCACTCAGCGGGACACATACAACTCCTCTCCACCTCCCCCTCCCTCCTTTCGGCTGATCGACCGCGACAAAGAAGAGTGCCTCCAGGGCGTGGTGCCCCATACCCTCCAGAGCCAGAGCCAGAGCCAGAGCCGGTGCCAGAAGCAAAGCCAGAGCCAATCCCAGCTTCTCCCCTCTTCGACCAACGGATTCCGCCCACCCCCTCCTAAAACCACCCGGCCTCGAAACGGAAATCTCACCCCCATCCGGCTCGACTCTCAAGTCCTTGAATCTCTCTTGTTTGCTCGCTTGCTTGCTGCCTCCTTTCTTTCAACCCGTCTCCTCTGCCCTTTGCAATCTCACTGGCAGAACAATATCCCACTCATCACGACATACGAGACTGCAGGCCCCATTGTTGGATATCCGTACGATTCTCTCGAAACTCTGTTGCAAAACTTCTGGAAGCCCGACGGCTGTCTTCTTCCAGGGGGCACGGGCGGATAGAGGATACCACCACTACCTACCTGCGGATACTCCACAGAGCACCTTACTTCCCGGCGAGTGAGAGTCTACTCAGTTACATGCCCCTGTTGCTTCCTTCATTCCAAGAGATACCCGGCAACAACCCAGGTTGCTTGCTGGACGTCCGAACCAGCAGCCAAACCCAAACGCAAAGCCAGCCCAACCAGGAGGAGCCTTGGCCTGCAACCTTGAACCCGTTATCCACAGTCGACAGTCGACAGCCCACTGCGGCGGCAGCAGAGACAAGCAACCTCAAGCAGAGAAGCGGAGCCCCTCACAGGCTCACACAGTCAGGACTCCCAGGAGGCACGCCGCACGAGTACTCCGTACAGAGTGCCGCCCAAATCTACGAAACATCGCGTGTTCCATACCTTAAGCCATTACCCGGGGGCTCGCATCCGAGGACAGCCACAGAAACACTCGCCTCTTATTAAAAGTGTAATCCCTCTACCCTTTTCCCTGCCCCGTCCCGGACGGAAGAAAAAGAAGAGAGAGACCGAGGAAGTGTTTGTTTGCGTGTGTGAGTGAGAGAGAAATGGCGACGCAGAATCGGTAAGCATCTTCCTCTCTCACGCTTTCTCGCTCTCCCATTCTGCTTCTGCTTCTGTTTCTGCAACTGCTTCTCCTTGCCTTGCTTGGTCTTGCTTGGTTCCTCCGGCTTCCTTCTTCGACATTGTCGTCGTCCACCATCGTCATCCCATCGATACGTCCGTCTCCCTCGTCTCTCTTGATCCTCGTGGTCCAGCCCTGCATTGTATGTACTACCTGTTACTTGCTTCCTTGGTCAAGCCAGCCTTTTCCTGCCTAATGCGTCTTGTCTGCACCGCACACGCATATTCCCCATCCGTCCCATCCCAACTCACCTATCCCCCTCCTCCACCCTCCACTACTGCAGTCTGCACCCGCAGTTTAGGCCCTCTGCAAGGCAATTCGCAGCAAGCGGCGGCTGCGGCAAGCGGTAGAAGGAAGCAGAAGCTGCACGAGCAGTACCAGCAAGTTGCCCTGCAGTAACAATACCGTCTTCCTCACCTTAGCAGCTTAAGCATACAAGCACGAGCACAAGCAATTCAAGTGTGTTGTTCCCTTTGCGTGTACGGATAAACGTACGGTGTGTGTGTGTCTAAGGTACTCTCTGTACGTGCATGTGCATCAATCAGCCAACACACACACACACACTCACTGCGCAGCGCTCTCCTCTGTCCCCAGTGCTGCGACTCGACTCCTTCAGCGAGGCTAGAAGTGGGGTTCATTTCGTCTCGATCTGTCATGGCGCACCTCACCGATTGTCAACCACCAACAGCCTCCTAATTGCGCTGTCCTTCCCATTCCACATCTTATTCTCCTCTTCTAACCCGTCCACTGCCTTGTTTCCCGGCAAAAAAAAACCCCCCCCTTTTCCCTGATCAGCATCATCTTCATTCGGCCGGCGACGCCCCTTCTGCTGCTCTTCGTCGCTGTTTGATTGTCGCCACCACCTCGACTCTCTCTCATTTCATTCCCACGTCTTCGTCGCATGCAGACCTCGCCGCCCGCCGCCGTCGCCCACGCTGCGCAGCAATCATGGCTAACGAACGCAGTGTGTACTCGTCCGGCCAGTTCATGAACCCAGGCCCGGCGCCACGACCACCTACCGATCGACCTCGTCTCGCCCTCACCCCAAGCAATACCCTACCCGGCAGCATGGCCAACATGGCTATTTCTCCTATCCGGAGCACAGCGACTTCGACCTACACCGGCTCCACAATCTCTCTCCCCATCGCCCGCCAACAGAGCAATCAGAACGATGGCATGGGAGGCGTCGCTGTTAAGAAGGAGGGCTGGGCTTCCGTGAAGGAGTCCAAGAACTTTATCAACCCGTGGAAGCAGAAATACCTCATCCTGCGAAAAGAGTCGCTCGACTTCCACAAGACTGAGGGTGGCAAGGTCGCGTATACCCTCTTCCTGAAAGACGTCGTCAACGTCGGCCGTGTCGAGGCCGCTGGCACCATTTTCGAGATTAAGAGAAACCCTAGCGGCTCGTCAAACAGCCCCGGCGAGGACGATGGCCAGACCAAGACGTTGCAAATTCGTGTCAAGAGCGACGACGACTTGTACGAATGGATTGATCTTATTTACGGCGCCTGCCCTGGAATGGGCGGTGTCAGCAACCCCACCAACTTCTCCCATGCAGTCCACGTTGGTTTTGACCCCCAGACTGGCGAGTTTGTCGGCTTGCCACCCGAATGGTCGAAGCTCCTCAACTCATCCGCCATCACAAAGGAGGATTACGAGCGCAACCCCCAGGCTGTCTTTGAGGTCCTCGACTTCTACTCAGACCTGACCAAGCGCGCCGAGAACCCCCAGCAATACTCCAGCCTCACACCTACGCCTCCCGCCAGCAGTCAGCAGAACAAGCAGCTTGGTTATGGCGGCGGCGGTGCAGGAGTTGCGCCGCCTAGGCCTATGCCGCCTTCTCAGGCCCAGCGTCAACCCAGCTACAATACCCAGCCGTCATCGCAAGGCCAACAACGCCGGCCTTCGCCCACGGAACAGCAGCAGCAGCGCCAGCAAATGCAGGGTATGGCTCCCAACTACCAGCCGGATCCTCGCGAGGAGCAGCGCATGAAGCAGCTTGAGGCGCAGCGTTCCCGAGAAAGGGAGATTGAGGAGCAAAACCGGCGGGACCTAGAAGTATTCAACGCTTCCATCCCCAAAACCAAGACGCCCATGGCCCAACAAGAGATTGGTGGCTACGGCGGCAGCTCTTCCATCCCACAAACAGACAGATACAACCCTTCGAGGGCAGCCCCTCCAGCACCCAAGCCGTCACAGCAGCAGCAGCAAGTCAATGGCCTGCGTGCGCAGCGCCCGGCACCATCGCCGCCCACCACCGCGGGCACGCCAAACCGTCCCCCGATGACTTCGCAACAAAGCTCCAGTTCCATGCGAGATCCCAACCAGGGCCAGCGCATGCCTCGGCAAGACCAGCCCTCGAGCCAGCAGCAACGGTATCCCAACGGCAGCCCCCAGCAGCAGAGGCAACCTCCTCAGGCTCAGGCTCCGCCACCGTCTCGACTGCCCGCTCCTGTCAAGCCTTTGAACGTGTCCAAGGCTCAGCCCGCCGCCCCTCAAAGCGATGGCGTCAAGGCCGCCGAGGCAGCTCTCACTGCCAAGCCACCTGCGCAAGAACGCAAGCAAGATGTGCGCATGTCCACCATGTCCGAAACCGAGGTTATGGCCAAGCTCAAGGAGGCCGTATCCAAGGACGACCCCAACCTTTCCTACTCCAAGCAAAAGAAGATTGGACAGGGTGCTTCGGGTTCAGTCTACGTTGCCAAGGTCAAGGAAACCGCTGTTTCTCCCATTGCCCGTGATGTCCTGCGTGCTCAGGGTATCAAGGCTCAAGTTGCCATTAAGCAGATGGATCTTGCTCACCAGCCCAGGAAAGAGCTGATTGTGAACGAGATTATGGTCATGAAGGACAGCAGGCATCGCAACATTGTCAACTTTTTGGACGCCTTCTTGCGAAACAACAACGCTGAGCTCTGGGTCGTCATGGAGTACATGGAGGGTGGCGCTCTGACGGATGTGATTGATAACAACCCCAGCATCACTGAGGAGCAGATTTCCACAATTTGCTTGGAGGTAAGAGACTCACCGATATATGACACCAGCGGGTCAATACTAACAGGATCTAGACATGCCGTGGTCTGCAACATCTCCACTCCCAAAACATTATTCACCGCGATATCAAGAGTGACAACGTTCTTCTGGACGCTCGTGGCAATGTCAAGATTAGTAAGTGAATCGCAATACCCGTTCTTGCGCACCTACTAACCAAGTGTATAGCCGATTTCGGTTTCTGCGCCAAGCTCACCGAAACCAAGTCCAAGCGTGCGACCATGGTCGGAACGCCCTACTGGATGGCCCCTGAGGTTGTCAAGCAGAAGGAGTACGGCCCCAAGGTTGATATCTGGTCTCTGGGTATCATGGCTATTGAGATGATCGAATCTGAGCCGCCTTACCTGAACGAGGAGCCCCTCAAGGCTCTTTACCTGATTGCCACCAACGGTACTCCGCGCCTCAAGAAGCCCGAGAAGTTGAGCAAGGAGCTCAAGGCTTTCCTGTCGGTCTGCTTGTGCGTAGACGTCAAGAGCAGAGCCTCTGCCGACGAGCTTCTTCAGCACGACTTCCTCAAGCACGGATGCCCGCTGGGCAGCCTGTCTGAGCTTCTTGCCTTCAAGAAGCACGCCAAATAAGTTGGCAAGCACAGCACGGGCGGTGTAGCCCACAGCGGTCAGCGCTGAGAAGCGGATGCCATTGACGATTAGTGGCGTTTATTTTGGAACCGGCGGTATCGTGCAACACTTCCCGACGTGCGCGAAAGCAAGCAAAAGAGACATCACGTTCGACTTCTCGAACGAATTCCCTACTCCTCATCAACCATTCACACGACGTACTCATGAAAACTTCCAATTTCAATCGACGCGGATATCCTTGACACCCCCTTCTGACTTACGCAGGACGAGAAAATGCTTCGTTCATCCCATCATGGCGGCGGCATGGGAATCTTTTTGCTAATGGTTTCGGTCACATTGCATAGTTGTTTAGTCACCGTAGGGGAAGAATGGTAATTTAGAGGAAAGGTACAGCCCGCGACATCTCGGCGGCTCAATCGTGGAGAGGCAACGGAAGAGATGAGGGGCCAAGGGAGACAAGCGTGTTGCCTGGGTCTCAACAGAAAGCATGAGTAGAAGGCGAGCAGACAGCGCTGATAGATCGTCTCAATGGAATGGATCAATGAACGTTGCAGCTTTTGACGTGAAATTTGACAAACTCGAGCACCGCCATCGAGCCTAAGGCCTCCCTGTGATCTGAGGAAGGTATGCCAATCCGTGCCAGTACGAGAGCCTCGGCGACCTAGGACTATCTAGTAGTTCCATTATCTTTGCTAATCTAGAATATAGACGGAATCGTCCGCCTCTTTATATTGATAGAGAAGACCTGACTTTCGGCCCGCACGGAGCTTAGCCAATCTCCGCTCTTCTTACTTGCGAAACCGCGGGCACACCTCAACAACCTTCTCGTATTCGGAACCCCGTAGCCCTTGCATCCGAGAAAAACGAGGCCGCCGCCAACCACGTCCCTCGAAACTGGTTTCCTTCCTCTTCCTTTCATGCCACCATTCTCTTGCCAAAATCCGCGTCCCCGGTGTTTTTCTGCCCCGAGCCAGGCTTTGCCGAATTTGCGCAGGCCTCGGTCATACTCTCGCATTTCGAACCGTGGTTCCGCCACCGTCGCGCGCACCCGCCGATCGCTACACGGGTTGTGACCTGCCCCTCTCACATTCCCTTTGCTTACCTACTCCGGGGCGGCGGCGGCCTAAGCGTCCCCAGGGGGGAGACTGCTGGCTGGTTGGTTGGCTGCTGTGTGCGAGTTGCGCACCGCTGACCAAAGTCGAAGTGGCTGGGCTGCCGCGTAACCCGGCACGGTACGGTAAATGATGGACAGCCCGATGGATGGGTCCGGCGGCTCGTCCTCGGCGCCGGGTTCGACGCCGACGGCTACGGCGACGACGCCTCACAGTGGTGTTGGGGTGACTGCTGCCGGTGGTACCAATACCACCACCACCAAGTCGCCTAGCGTTGCGATGCCGTTGGGGAGTATTTTGGCGGCGAGCAGCAGCGTTGGTGGTTCGTCCACGACGAGTACGACGGTCTCGGCTTCGGGTGCTGGTGCTGGGAGGCGGAGCACGCCTGGTGGTACTACTACAACTACTCCCGGTGCTGCTACGGCGAATACTGGCGCGACTGTTGTCTCGAGGCGGTCGCATCCCAAGTCGAGGACGGGGTGTAGGACGTGTAAGAACCGAAAGATTAAAGTGAGTTCTTTAGTATACCATTCTTTGTGTTGCAAATCGTTTGCTACGAGTGTTTTTCTACCTGGGTGTTGGTGTTGCGACATACACCCCACCCCCTTTCCTTTCTCACACACTCTCATTGATGCCACCATCACATCTCATTTCATTTCCCTCAATCTCATGTCTTGTCTTATTTTCCATACCCTCTTACTCGATTTTCTTCTTGTTACGCAATAGGTGACCCCAAGCACCGAGACAAACTGACAAAGAACCACCCCCACAGTGCGACGAACACAAACCCTCATGTAGGAACTGCATCAAACACGCCGTCCCCTGCGACTTCCTCCAGTCCCAACGACACTCCTCCTCATCCGTCCCGCGCTCGCCGGGCAGCCTCTCGACCCCGGGAGGGCCCGTCAACGGTGACGACATCGGGGCCGGGGCCAGGGCCGGTAGTGGTGGTCTCAGCCTCGGCAATGGCGGAGGCATCGACGACCTTTCCCTTAACCTAATCGACCTGGAACTCATGCACAACTTCACAACCTTCGCCTTCAACACGCTTTCGACGGACCCCGTGGTGCGGCAGATGTGGAAGGTGCCCGTCGTCCGGCTGGCGCTCGAGTGCGACTACGTCATGCGCGCGCTGCTGAGCGTGTCGGCGCTGCACCTCGCGCACAATAGGCCCGAGAGGCGGGATTTCTTTATTAGCCGGGCCCTGACGTATCACCAGATGGCGAGCCGTACGGCCATGGGGTTGATGGGCGCTCTAGATGGGGAGAATTGTGAAAAGTTGTATCTGTTCTCGGTGCTGACCATCTTTTTTGGTATGTTTTTTGTCACTCACCCCCTTTTACCCCTATTTCACACAAATCTACAGCAATCAGGACTAACACCTCCCCAAAAGCCCTCGCCTGCCCGCGCAAATCCTCAGACTCCCTCATCATGGGCGAGTCCTCCTTCCCAGACTGGCTCTTCCTCCTCCGCGGCACCCGCTCCCTCCTCAAAGAACTCGACCCGCACACCTACGCGGGGCCCCTGACCCCAATGTTCAACCACGGCCGCGAGCGCTACATGCACACCCGCGACGAGTCCAAGATCCAGTCCGACCTCCTCGCGGACCTCCAGCGCCTCGTCAACAAAACCTGCGCCAACGCCGCGCTCCTGCCGATCTACAACCGCGCCATCGACGAGCTGCGGCGGACGCTGAGCGTGTTTCTGTGGGACGGCGGGAGGGGCATGGATATCACGGACGCGTTCGTGTGGAAGTATCTCATGGCGGAGGATTTCTTGCCGCTGTTGAAGAGTCCCGGGCACACGCAGGAGGCTGTTGCGATCTTTTCGCATTTTTGTATTTTGCTGAAGAGGTTGGAGAATGAGTGGTGGCTTCAGGGGTGGGCTACGCATTTGATTTCGCGGGCGTGGGCTGTGCTGGATCAGGATCATCGGCTTTGGATTCAGTGGCCTATTGAGGAGCTTGGGTGGGTGCCGCCTTGATTGTGTGGGTGGATGGGGTGTTGGTGAAGGTTTTGTCCATAGGAGGAATGAGTCCCTTTGTGTTTTATATGATAGTGTACGATGTCACGTTTGGCTGAGCGTTGCGAGGTCATTTTTGGTACATAAAATATCGGATGTCGTTACATGTATCTGATGTTCAGAACGCTATGTGTGCTTACTGACAGGGTGCTCTCAACAGATGGATGTACTGAAACGGTTGAAAAAAATGGGTTTCCTTTCTTCTATCAATGCTGTGTTGCTGCCATCTGTTTAGACCGGCCTAGAAGAGCAAAGCAGACCGCCGCAACCTTCATGTATTCTTCGTCTACAAACAACACCGCGTACTTATGAAACCATCATACTGATGCCCGACGAGTGACGCTTGATACATTCAGCCGCATAGAAGCCTATCATGGCGGTGGACAGGCTTGAGCCACATCATGAAGCCTGACATGGCAAACAGTGGGAGAATACGCTTACACTCCTGATGTTTCACGGATGAGACATATCAAAACCCCCTAAGCTTCAAAGTCTCCTCTCAAGCTTTGTAGCATGTTCAGCCCGGAATATGAGTAGAAGGCTGAATGACTGAATGGCACGAGGGCCTCTCTGGTTTAGCAGCCATTCGGACATGATCTAGAGCCTCGCCGCTCATGACGTGCCCGACCAAAAGACTCGTTGTGCATCTCAGTAATCTCTTTCTCGCCCCGCGATGGCTTGGCAGGCTCGTCAAGATAGCGTGGAGCAAGCTTTTATACCACTAAGGGTGAACCATTAATCCTGTGCTACGAGCGACGAGATTTCTTGTGAGAAAGGGAGCACCAAGCCCGGTTCGTCAAATCTTGAGCCCGACATTGAAGTGCCTGGAAAGTAGCGGAATGGGACAAATAGCAGCATCAAACTTCTTCAGCAGGATTTAGCCGAAGGGATTTGAGATAGCATGCACATTCACCAGAAACTGAAAACCACATGAGGCTTGGCTTCCAAGTGCAACCACGGCCTTCTCACAGGATTACACCATCCATCTTGGCAGCACGCTCTGCCGCGCCTAGGAAAACGAGACTTCTGAGCCGCAAAACGCAAGGCTAGAGCTACTGTCTGTGTTACCGTCAGCTTCTCTTTCGGTAGAAATGGGCGCACCTTGTTCAGTAGCTTCATGAGTGTCAGCATGAGATGTGATATCAGAACATGCTTGAAGCCTTCCAGTAGGCCGTTCTCAGAGCCTTGCGGATCCAAGAGCGTGACCAGATTGTTTCTGAGGAGCTTTCTGGCCCCGGTCTAGGAACTTGTATCGTGTCTTCAAATGGCGTTCAAGGCCTCTTCTCAGAAGGGCAGTGACGATGCAGTCCGGTTTTCAAAGAACAAGAATTGGAAGGCAACATTGAAGCATGTAAGTCAAGATGCTGGGGCTTGGGGAGGTTCAGCCTGCCTACTCTTCTCAGGATTGCCAGCTTTCCCAGAGCCTTGCCGTCACCCACACCTTCCCCCCGGTGATGTGGCGTAAGCAACATGCAGTCAGCAGCTCAGAGCGGAAATAGCCTCGTGATTGATATTCGCGCGCGCAACCCAAAAGATACGGCCAGCCAAGGTCAGAAGGACCCCAGTGGGAAATGTCTTCCACATCCTTGCCTAAGGTACTTTGCGATACTCGTCACCGCATAAGCCTTGGCAACCTGCATATAAATGCGGCTTGGCCCCGCCCAGGCTCTCAAAGTAAATTGGCTCAACCGAGTGAGCAGGCTACGAGTCACGATTACTTTGCATAACGCAGGCATGTCGGACTCTGAGAGCGAGCGCCCATTACCGGCACCGAAAACGACTGGCGTGGAACAGCAGCCCTTCTGGAAGGTGTACGATGTTCCTGGAGAGAACAGCGATGTATCTCAGAGCTACATGAAGCGTGAGTGGACACAGACTACCTTCTCCAAATTCATAAACTAATGTCAATCAGGTGGCCACGAAGAGACGGGTGTGAAGCCTGAAATATTTCAACCCAGAGATGATGAGATCAGCAACTGGTTAGAGGCGCCGAACTCGAAATGCTACGCTTCCTTTGGGGATGACGGAGTTACGGCTACCGTCAATGCGTACGGCGATCTGATGCAATTCAGCTGCTCTTTGGGTGTTGGCTGTTCTGGTGTATTCTCCGCAGATCATCGCTACATGGACGAGCCATATTGGGTGGACGACAGAGCAAGGCAACTTCATGACATGAGGCAAGACCTACGTCGAGAGTTCACCTCGTACGGCTTGCGAATTCCTAGCATCGATCTTGAGAGATCCCGTCTTCTAGGTTATGTTCATGACAGATGGCCGCGATATAGGGCTGAGGATAAAACGTCAAGACTCAACCTTACCACGCAGTGGATGGTTTATGAGCAAACACTCTTGCAGCAATGCATCATCACCAATATTGGGACACACGATACAAATGTCCCAGTTGAGTTTGCGAAGCGCATGCACCTTCGATACTTGAATTATCTGGAAATTTCCAAAACAGTACTGGGGTTCCAGAATCAGATACTGGGCCCAAATCATTACGGGTGGGTTTTGGTTCATCCTCTGGAAGAACCAGATCAGCATGATGCAGATTCTGTGACCACATACTCAACTTCACCACTGGTCGACCAGGCCCAAACGGACCCCGCGAATCTAGTCGAAACGCCAGAAAATCTGCAAAGTCCATCAGCTGAGATTTCAAATGCTATCGCAGTCGTTGTATCTGTGTTCAAAGACGGACAAGCAGTCAAGTGGAGGCCCGACAGCCTTGATGACGTGGACAATACTGATATACTGAATCTGGCTTTAGAGGAGAAGACCGCAACAGAGATCGTCATTGCCTACAAGATGATTCATCTAACTAAGACTTGTAAGACATGGGAAAATCTTCTCATTCCACCAGCCTGGGCGGATGTCAGCAAGCATCTTGAATCAGCTTCGTTCACGGCCTTCCACCCTTCAGATTACGGCAAGCCCGTCGAAAAAACTCAAGACGAGAAGTCTCAAGGAATCTTTTCTCGCTGGATGCGATTTACTTCATCGTCCAACGATACGCAGCCATATGCACTGCCAATAGACGACCCAGTGAGTCCACATGGACTGCCGACCAAGAGTCCAGTGAATCACATTGACTTTGTCACCCGTCGGAACCTGGAGCACATTTTGTCGACGTGTGCTCTTCCTACTGGGAAATATTCAGTTGAGGGAGAACAAGGGGCAGTTGCTTTGACATGTGGCGATATATCGGGGCATCGTGTGATTTCTTCAGCAAGTTTGTAAGTTAGCAACTGACCCCTCTGGCCTTCTTTTGTGTTTGCTCAACATAACATAACATCTTCAGCTTTGCATTCTTGTTTCTTCTTGAAATAGTAAAGCATTTGAAGGCGATCGAGACACTCCGTCCCGATCATCCTTACAAGCCGTTGCGGCGAAGAATCGACTCGGTCTGCCGTGGCCACTTGAAGTGGCTTTTGAAAGTTGATCTCACGGAAGAAAGTATCTTTGCAGCGAACTACTGGGTAACAGGCCGAATTATGCCCTCCGACACGGGCTTCGGTTCATTTATGCCAAGCAACTCTTTCACCGACACACCTTTCCAGCTCATGAAGGTGGCCGCGTTCTCTAGCCTCTACAACACCAAAGTCGACAGGGAGCTGGCACGACAGGTCATCCAGAGGGTTGACAAATATTGGATCGATACATTGCAAAAGTCTGACAAACGTACTTCCCATGTTTGGCCTCGTGCACAAGATGAGGGGTGCAATAAATATAGACTTAATGAACACGTCTGGATCTGGAGAGCGCTGACAGCAATCGAAGAGAACCGACGGAGATCTCTCGATACGAAGAACCCTCCCAGCGATGGCGTGGAGGCGCATGTTCAGGCTTCTAAGAATGTCAAAGAGGACCAGGAAGGCAATGACAAGGGTCGGCGAGATCAAGCTGCCAGTGATGAAGAGAAGCTTTTCAGACAATTTGGCTCCGACATTGTTCACCGAGACATCCTGCGGCGTTTCACAGTCGAGAACGACGTGTCGAAGAAACGCATGCTAGCTACAACACGGTCTTCCAGAGAGACACGCTTCTTGTTTCATGCCAGTGATACTGCACTATTCTACGGCATTGAGTGGGACTTCTTCTTGCCGGCACTGATCGACGAGGTGTGGGACAACACGATAGAGGCCCAGTTGCATCATAACGAAAATTCGGAGACCGGATGGGATAACTCGATTCGTTACGCACTGGCAATCATGATGGGAATCAGGAATATGCGCCTCAATAAAAGGTCATCAAAAGACCTGGTCAAAAGTGCTTTCGATGTTCTGTTTCGGACCACGAGTCCAAATGGACTCTTTTATGGGCAGCTTGACGCAACAACCAAAGAGCCAGTGCTGTTTGTCGGCGAAGCGGATCGAGACTTTTATTTCCATGCTAGTTTCGAAATTCCCTACATTCTTCTGACGCATTGCTGGGGAATTAATTCTATACTGGAAGACAGTTCCGAGGACAACCTCGAGTCACCGCCACCTTTCATAGCAACGCAAACATCACGACAGCACCCATTCAACGAGGTCGCAGAGATTATAACACAGCAGCCAAAGCGGCAAGAGCATAGATCACCTGCAATCCAATTACCTGCTGCCGAGACAGCTGAAGACCAGAGCCCTTCCCCTGACGTCTACTTGGGAGTCAAGCCCAAAAAGCCAAAGGCAACAGCCATGAAAAAGAGCATTCCTTTCAACAGCCTCATTGACCAGAGCAGTATTGTTGATCTGGAGGATGAGTGGCTCTACAACTACCCAAATTTTCTGAGCGGTAGTGAACAAACTCTCGTTGACTTCCATAAGGAGGCGGAAGCATTGTCAAAACCGACAGGAAGCTCTCATTCGGGCACTGTGATTACCAAAGCGGCCAAGGACTACATCGAAGATCTTCCAGTTGACTTCGATCCAGGCGAAAGCAGGAGCTATTTCAAGTCCTTGGGGCGGGGGACATGGGTCGTGAATGTTCGGAAGCGCAAGAATCTCAGCAAGCAGGAGAGGGCAAAGAGCGACGAAGAAGGGAGATCTCTGACCAACATTGGGCTTTGGGTCAACCTGTCGCAGACCAGAACAGCTGAGACAGCGAAAAAGAGGTTCATTTGGCTGCCACACGCAGACGCCGAGACTGCTCTCATTTGCTACATTAGTAGTCCACAAGACGAGCGACCAGCCATATCGGATTTCTTTGACAGTCATTTTCACTACGAGAATAAATTTCTCGAAGAAACAACAATGGTACTAAATACCTGGAAGAGTGAACTTCACCTGAGCTTCTATCTCCTGGAGCAAAAGAGTGAGAGGACACTTCCCGGAATCCCCTCGTTGAGCTATAAAGAATTGCCAGGAAACTCAGACTGGAGGCTGGCACGAGCCTCCATGGGATTCCGCTTCTCTGGTGACTTCTTCGACCGGTATTGGACCTGTCACCTGATCGAGTACACCCATAGCCGAAGTGGTCTGACGTGGAAAGGGCACCGACCGTGGGGCAGGCAAGGTTGGCAGCAAAGAAAAGTGCTTGAGCTACATCTTTTCGACGGCATTCTGAAGGAGATTATCAAGAGCAGTGCAGAAATCTTCGACACAGTGAAACAAGAGATAGGCGACAAACGCGGCGTTATTTCGTTCTCGGCTCTAAACAGTGTCGATTATCTTTCATCGAGTACAAAGTGGCAATTTTACCAGCAGATCCTTCAGGTCGTGGAACAAGAGCTCTCGAATGTGCTGTCAACTGTCGCTAAATGGGAGACGCGCGAGAAGGACAGAGGTCACGAGCGACCTCGCTGGACACGCAACGACGAGCGCAAGTACCGTGGCTCCATTGGAAAGATGCAAGGGTCGACAGCCCGCCGCATCAGGGATTTGCAAAAACACCGGAACGACGTACGGTCATTGAAAGAACAGCTGAAAAGCGAACAGCAGCAGAGCCGCGACAACATCTCAGTAATTGACGCAGAAAATGTCCGGCTCTTTACGTACGTGACCGTGGTGTTCTTGCCACTCGGGTTTGCGGCCAGCATATTCAGCATGAGCGAGGAACCGCCAAGCAGCGTTCTCAAGCCTATGATTGTTTGTTCTGCTGTTGCGCTCGCCCTCACATTCGTGGCGCTGGGGAACGCGAAAAAAGTGTCGACGGCGATAAGTAAGTACTCTCACGACAAGATCTACAGCAACAAGTTGAGCTCTGGACGTGAGGTCCGGGGCGATGACGGGCGCGTGTTCCCTACACGTCAACAGGAAGATGCCGAGATCGGTAGCACGTCTGAAGATGACGATACAACTCCAGAGTCTGAAACGATCCATCAAGAGAACCATAACACCAGCTTCTCAAGGCACTTCTGGTTTTGGATTGAATATGTTTTCATCAATCTTCCCGCTCGAAGAGTCTCGGTGGCATATTTAGATTTGATTGCCGAGAACCCCAGCCACTGCAGGTATTTTCATGTGCCCGTGGGAATCATCGTGTTGCCTATGCTTCTTTTCGCACGTCTACTTCAATTTCTTCTTCTTACTGTCATGGATCTGGGTCAGCTTGCTTGGGGTAAGTCTCTTCGAACTGAACCTAAGCCCCTACTTTTCGAAAGATTGATCTCAATACTGACTGGGCCTATCGAAGGATGCATCTCGCTTTTCTTCACATCAGACAGGCGGGATGAGTACAGTGACTTGGGGGACCGGATGAACTGGCTGACGAACCCCACTTACATATATCGTCCACTTGAGAATAGAGTCAAGAATGTGAACGAACGTCTAGCTGACCAACGGATTGAGAAAGAGCGACCCCCCATAGAAGACGAATTCAGTGACGAGGAAACATGATAGTATCGCATTTGATGCCAATCATAATAAAGTCCTTTGCTTTGATTTTCATCTGGTATTTACACATTGAATAGTCTCAGGAGCACCCGAATTTGCATCCAGTCGCTGGATTTGGAAGTGCTCTTATCCTTTTCCGAGTAGCTTGCGTCTGAAATTTCTATCTCTCACTTCAGTTTGATGCGAGGGCAACTCTCCAGAAGCAACAAAAATACCAGGCAATACTCGGCGTCCCTAATCTATGAGCAAAATGCTCAATTTCCAACCTCAATAGTCTTCGTCTCCCACTCCCCTATCAAAGATCCGGCACCAGCACCGACAGACGTCAACTTCTCGGGGCTTTGCAACACTTCCTCCATCGTCAGACCAGGCCAGACAGCCATCCACCTTCCCTTCATCGCTACCTTGGCCTTGCCTGCCTCCCACACATCTCCCGGCACCCTTGGCTCGCGAAGCTCAACAATTTGATCCGCGCTCTCACCGGGTCGCAATGTAATGAGCGACTCGGCGCCGGGCGGCATCTTGCGGTTGATCATGATGGCATGGGTCTCGATCGGCTCGGAGGCCCCGGCCGGCTGGATGGACACCTGGCCCAGACCGAGAACGGCGGGGTCAAGCGGGGAGTTCCATTTCAGGAGCGTCACGGGCGTGTCCGAGTGTGTGTTCTTGACGGACACTGAGACTTTCGGGGGCGAGGTGCCGGACTGAGACAGGCTCACCTCGAGGTTGTTGAGGAAGGATGAGGAGGAGTCAGAAGTCATTGTGAAGGATTGCAGTGGCGAATAAAAGTAGAATGTGAGTACGATGATGGCGCCAATTGCTAGGGCGGCTGGGAATGACAGAGGCCCTCGGCTACGGTGATGAGAGTTCATGTATGATGACTCGTTCTTGGCTAGGGGTGGTTGAAGAGCGTGCAAAAGCAATGGAGAATTGAGTGAGGTTTCTTCAGATACGACAGCTTCAGAGTTCAACGAGTTGATGGTGATGGGGGCAAAGTCTGTATGTTGGGTTGCTGGAAAGGTGATGATGAGTTCAGGGGGCCAAGAGAATCGAGGCTTGAGAAAGAATGAGAACGATGACGATGTTGTGCCACGACAGTCTCCTGACAAAGGCTCCAGACGAGTCCACTACGCAAGGAAGAGGAGGCAAATGGGGAATGCCTGATTGGATCGTCAACGGCTTTGATGCTCCTTTAGGCAGGTCGCAGAACCGATGAGAATTATGAAGGGAACGGACGTTTGTAGGATATTGGGGCTAGACCGAGCATGAATGCGGGGCAAACATTTGTTACGTACACGCGCGTATGAGGTTGTCGCTGCCGAGATTAAAAGTTGCCCCGAGCGAGTCTGAATCAAAGCAGCGCCACTGTTGTTTAAATCAAAACGGCACGCAGCCAAGACCTTGCCAAGTCCACGTTTTGGCGTACGGCTGTCGGTAGTGAAAATAAACAGCTAATCAGAGTCGACCTGGCCCACTACTCTATTTACTTTAAACTCCGAACCCGGCACCTCCTACTCCATAACGACCTCTTAAGGCTCATATTAAGCTCACTAAAGGAGTGGGAGCCGCTTCTGGACCATCATAACCATGGCTCCCATTCGTACAACGAAGCAGCTGGGGATGGCTTCAGTTATAGTAGTCTGTGTAGATCCGTTACGAGATGACCCCGCTGGACACACCCACCTCTATCCGCGGCTGCGCGCTTCGGTTGGTGGAAGCCTCGTGTATCAGCTTTCCTGTTCGTCTGTATTTTGGACATGATCGGATAATTTCCATCCTTCCAACTTCGCACCCGCATCCCGAACCACTGGGACAATTCTCCGTGGTGGAACGTTGCCCCGGCTTCGCACCCGTATCCTTGAAGTTTCTTCTCCGTGATGCAATCTACTGTTCGTTTGAGGTCCCAAGAAGGGTTACCTTCAGATCAGGGGGCTTCCCTCTCAGGAGTTATGGAGGAGCCATAAAGCCTTCCTCTCTCGCTGCTAACTATCTTTCCTCTTGAGAAGAATCCAGCATCTTCCAACGGCTTCGTCCTACACTCTCTTTAAAGTCCCACCACCTTACTTAGCCACCATGAAGGCCGCCACTGTCGTTTCTTGCCTCGCCGCCCTTGCCAACGGCGCTGCCGTCAACCTGGGCAGACGTGCGGAGCCCCTCGATGTGAAAATCGAGCAGGTCGGCAACAGCGAGCTGAAGGCTAGCATCACCAACACCGGAAGCACGCCCCTTCGTGTTCTCAAGGCGGGCTCGATCCTCGATGGATCGCCCGTTGAGAAGGCCCAGTTCTCGACGAGCTCGGTCGATGGCACTGGTGGTAAGTCTAGACTACTCTTCATACACTCCAAAAGCAAACAGTATCTAACACTATCAATAGTCAGCAAGGTTGCCTTCACTGGCGTGCGAGTCTACGTTCACGATGCCGATCTCCCCGACTCTGCCTTCCAGACCATCGAGGCCGGCGAGGTCGTCAAGGTCCAGTGGGACGCCGCCCAGGTCCACGACCTCAGCAGCGGCGGCGACTTCAACATTTCCAGCACGGGATCCCTCCGTTACGCTGAGGAGGGCAGCAACAAGATTGCCGGCCAGGTCGTCTTCGACTCGGGCGTCCTCCAGGCCACCGTCGACGGCACCCAGGCCGCCTCGGTGCACGCCGCCTTCCACGAGTCCCTGAACGCCAAGCGCGTCACCATCCAGTCCGACTGCACCGGCACCAAGAAGACGGCCGTCACCGCCGCCCTCTCCAAGGCCAAGACCTACGCGACCAACGCCCAGACGGCCGCCAACGCGGGAACTCGCCTGCAGCAGTACTTCAAGTCGACCACGTCGAGCACAAAGTCCACCGTCGCCGGTATCTTTGGCAAGGCCGCCACCCTCCTCGGCAGCACGTCGAGCGGCGCCGGCCTCTACTGCACCGACGTCGGCAACTTCTGCAGCGACGGTGTCGTCGCCTACGCCCAGCCTGGCAGCGGCGGTTACATTGTCGTCTGCGACTACTTCTTCCAGTTCCCCGCCTCCACCACCTCGTGCCGCGCCACCGACCAGCCGTACGTCCTGGTTCACGAGTCCACTCACTTGACTGAGGTTGGCGGCACCGACGACGTCTGCTACGGCTACGAGGGCTGCGTCGACTCCCTCAGCACTTCCCAGGCATTGAACAATGCCGATTCCTTTGCCATGTACTCTCAGGGCATCCAGACCAACTGCTAAATGCGGTGGACTACGTTGGCTCGGGTTGAGACGTTTCTTTGTACAATATTAGCCAGCATATAACATGTATCTATACCTTCCATGAACAAATATCACACCATTGATCAATCATGCACTTGCCTTTCAATTACATAAGAACGTGATACATAGATGATGAGAAGACCTAGATGTTCGGTTTGGGTTGTAGTTATTCAAAATAGGGGTACAAACGAGAAGTGTTGGTTGAGTGGGGGTAATGCACGGGTTTAAGCACCTTGGGTTGCCCGCTAAACCATCAGTCCATGATCTAGTGCACCTCAACCGACAGCGAATGGTTAGGCCACTACTCAAACGCCAGAATACTGTAGCTCCTGCTGCCAAATCACACCTCAATGCCGTCTTCGCCTTCGTAAAGTATGGAAAATCATGACAGGTCATTCATGCGGGTCATTCGCAAGATTGACGACGCAGACGAGCTCATCCAATCGTTCTTAGCATCCGAGGAATTCATACTCTCTCAGAATGATGCCTCGCTGTCACTCGCTCCCCATGATCAGGAGCGTTTGCTCGACTTTCCAAATGCCGAAACTCAAGCAGCGAACATTGCTGAATCGACTAAGCTATCCAAAGAAGATCTCCTTGAGCGTGCTGTCGAGTCACCCTCGCAGCTGACCGCCGCAGAGATCTCTCTGCTCAAGAACCGCTACTGGATGAATGTCTCGCCAGGCGAGGAACGTGAAGTCTCACGGGCAGCCGGGCTGATCATGGGACCCAATAGAGTCTCAGAAGAGGAGTATGAACAAGCCCAGAAGCGTCTCGGGGCGGTACGCCACATGCTCTATGCAGAAAATGAAGAGAAAGCCATCAACAATGCTATCACAGAGCACTGGAGGCGCGAAAATGAATCATGGAAAGCGAGACAGAGGCAGGAGACTGAAAATGCCTTGTCCAAGGCGCGCCCATGGGTGAGACGTCTGTGGGAGGAGGACAAAGGGGAGAAGGTTTGGGGGTATGGCATGTTCATCGATCCAAAGGCGTTCGCCAACGACGAAGAAGCCGATAGGTACATGGCTCGGAGAGATGGCGTTCTATTCCACGCTCGCGACGCGGTTGGGGCGGGAAGCAGTGCCATCAATAACAAGTGGAAGTTGCAGAAGCTTGAGTGGCCTACCAGTGATGCTGCAGGTGGCGACAAGGAGATGAGCGCCAGACAAGCTGTTGGTCGAGGCGACGCAGAAGAGGATACTAGTGAGCTGACTATTGACGAGGACCAGAGAGGTGGAAGAGAGGACGAAGAGAGACTCGCCAGCTTCCGCATCTTGCGTACAAGGTTCAAGTCCATCCGAGACAGAGGCACAAGGAGTCAAACACAAGAAGGCATCATCTCTGCCGCACCTGTGTATTCAGAAACCAGTGCTCTAGAAGGCGGCATTATACGAAATGTCTTTCTGATGGTAGACAAGCCAAGCGTCAAATCGGTCCTTGGTGCACATAGGCTCGTCGACGACATGTGGGTTTGGGCTGTTGACCCTGACCACGACGATGCGGACGAGACACTTACCACAAACGATGAACCACGGCAATCAGAGACGCCCGGAAGATACAGAGGATTCATGCGTGTACGGCTGCAACAGCTTGTCAATAACTTCTATGACGTGCGACGCTTTCACCAGAGAGAGTACGCAATGAAGAAAATCTGGGAAGCCGCTCAGAAGAGCAAGCATCAAGCCTTTGTTTCAATCCATGATCTTGAGGCCCGGAGTTGGAGTATTGATCGGTTCGTGGGGAGTGCCATGAGAGCGCAGCCACCGCGGATTGTATACGGACCTATACCAACGACTTCTGCCGAAAAGTTGGTTCACAAATAGATAAAGAATTGTCACCGAAATTTGATAGGTCCTTACTAAAAGCTAGTATTCAGGCCGCTCCAGGCAATTGACTCGAGTTTCTCTGTAATGATTCGGATTCTCGGCGCGCTGAAGGCAGTTACATTTTGATAGTTTGATAGTTTGAAGTGGGTTTTGAATCTTGAATCATACCTTGGTCGACGTTTAACCAGAGCTGGCTGGCAACTTCCTCCCAGGAAGGCTCTCTTTTGTGCCTTAGCTTATTCCTATCTGCAACATAAGGTAAGAAAAACGCCTGAGAGTCACTCACCAAGACGGAACTTTCGTGGTTAACGCAGGCTGTCCCGACCCGTGCGCCTCATTTCCCTCTCCATGGCTTCCGTGTAGAGTCGAATTCTTGGAGAAACATGGAGTCGCGAGTTTCAGACAACACAACTTGGTGGTTCATCAACAGTGGGATACAGGCAAACGTATTGCTCTTCCCCGGTACCCAGCTGCCCGAAACTTTGATTCTTCTGTACGAAACTCTGAATCCCAACGGCGAGGATGCAACCCAACGTCACTTTGTTGAAGAAAGTTTAGAGAAGACCCGGGAGCGATACTTCCTGCCAGACTCAGCTCGTGATTCAAGCATTGTCGACTGGTTCTGGAAACTTCTGAACATGCATCGCCTTCTCTTTCTGGTCGCTTCTCTTTCATGAACTACTCCCATATCGTACTTGGCTCTCTTACAGAACCAGCAGGAACTTCATCTGATGAACAATCACAGAAAACTTCATCTCAAGAATGTGCGGGCTAACAGCCATCATCCAATCCGGCAGTCCACAAAACGAATCATCGGAACGAGGCGCCGATGTGCAAAGTAAACTAACACGAAGCCTATCTCTCCTTCAGCATCGAGGGCCAGACGCAGAAGGGACATGGATAAACAGCGACGCTACCGTCGGCATGCTTCATCTCAGCTCTATTGACTCAGGTTTGAGATCGTTTGCCGGAAATTGACACAGTCATGAAGGTCTCGGCCACGCACGCCTCTCAATCATAGATATTTCGCCAACGGGCCTTCAACCCTTACACAGTGAGGATGAGAAAATCCACGTCGTCGTGAACGGCGAGATTTACGACCACTTCGCTATCCGCGGCCGCTGTACCACCGAGTTCGATTACAACTTCTCCGGGAGGAGCGACAGTGAAGTCATCCTGGCTCTGTACCAACACCACGGATTTCGCGGGCTCTTTAAGCACCTGCGTGGCGAATTCGCCTTCGTCTTATACGGTGAGCGATCCGGTGATGTTATCGCCGCGAGGGACCGTTTCGGCATCAAGCCTCTTTTCTGGACATACAGTAGCGAGACGCCGGCCAAACTCTTGATCGCCTCGGAGATCAAGGGGTTTCTGCCCATGGGGTGGGGGCCCGAGTGGGACGTCGATGCCATCTGCAGCGGTGCGGCGGTTCTAGGCGAAGGTACGCTGTTCAAGGGAGTGAAGGAGGTGTTGCCGGGGCATTGGGTGCAGTTCGGTCGAGATGGGAGCGTGACGCAGCATCGGTATTGGGATGCCGAGTATGCGGATAAGGTAAGTGGCTTCACATGAATGTATAAGCCGAACGGTGATTGATAGGCTTACAAGCTGTTTAGACCGTCAAAGAGACACGCAGTATGGATGAGATGGTCGACGGAGTTCGCGAGCGCTTAGTAGATGCCGTACGCCTCCGCCTCCAAGCCGATGTCCCCGTCGGCATCTATCTTTCAGGTGGTCTCGACTCGTCCATTGTGGCGGGTATAACAACGCAGCTCCTACGAGAAAGAGGAGTGAAGCTGGGGAACCAGGATATTAAAGATAGGATCACTTGCTTTAGCATCTCCTTTGCTTCTGATTCCCGGTATAACGAATACGGCAGGTCATTGGGTGCACCCACGCCCTAGACTCATGCTAACAACTTGACAAGACATTGCAGAACGCACCGCAGAATGGCTAGACTTGAATATAGTAAAAAAGGTCATGGACGAGGAAGAACTAGCAAAGCACTTCGCTGACTCCGTCTACCATACCGAGCACCACCACTTCGACATGAACAGCGTCGGGAAGTACGCCCTCTCAGAGCTACCTCGCCAGCAAGGGATCCCCATCGTGCTGACGGGTGAGGGGGCAGACGAGCACTTTGCAGGGTACCCATTCCTAGTCTCCGACTTCCTACGTGAGCCCGACGATGCCTTGCCATTGACGGAGCTAACGAAGGATACCGAGCTTCGGGAAGCGCTAAACGAGTCCGCCGCAGCGCAGTTGCGAAGCATGTACAAAGGGATGGGCATGTTTGATCACTCCCGAACGGAAGAAAGCACCGGCTTCGACTCTCTCGCAGGCTTGGACGTCTTCATGGTCCAATGGCGAGGCTTTCCCTCATCGGACGTGTTTGCCCCCTGGGTGAGAGAAAAACAGAACACACTCAGCGTCTACGAAGCGATCCTCAACTCCATTCCCCCAGACGCCCAGGAGAAGGTTCGAACGCGCTGGCACAGCCTCCACTCGGCGCTGGTAGTCTTCCTAAAGACCTCCATGGCGAACATGGTCTTGACCTGTCTGGGCGACAGGTCGGAGATGGCGTATAGTATCGAGGCGCGTCTCCCATTCCTGGACCACGAGTTGGCGGAGTACGTCAATGGGCTTCCGCCGAGCGTCAAGATGAGCTATAGTAAGCCCGAGGATTCCATAGGAACCAACAACGACGAGAAAGAGAAGAGAAAGAAAGTAGCGCCTCGGAGCTTCTTCTGGGAGAACATGGCCGCTGTCCGATGACGCATCATTGACAAGAAGGTCCTGCGGGAGACGGGGCGGCCGTTCATCACGGACGAGATCTACAACCGCAAGAAGCACCCGTACTCGTCTCCATGGAAGTGGCCCGTGGGAGGGCCGGTACAGCGAATGTTTAGGGGGTTGCTGACGAAAGAGGCGGTCGAATGCCTTGGCTTTGTCGACTTTGGGAGCATATCACGGTGTCTTGAGACTGCATTTGGTGGAAGCGGTGACCCCGCAGCGTTCAGGAAGATGCTTGTCGTCGGTGCCTGAGTGGTTTTGAGTCAGAAATTTGGCGTGAAACTGGCTAGATCTCAGAGATAGATCAATAGGGACGCTGAAAGGGTGATTTGCTGCTGCGGCACTTGATGCATTCTGTCAGGATGAGGAGAAGACACCGCGCGCTTGGATTGATGTCATTGACTTTTAGAGTCGCACAACCATATCAGCTGCTCAGACCGCACGAGATAGTATCAAGCCAAAATTCCGCAAGAAAGAAAGAGCTGGATCGAGGGCATGCCGTAGGTTACGTGCAAGATGCCGTGATCTCTCTAGGGCTTCACTTTGAGCTTGTCTTCTTTCCGTCGTGTCCGCGAAAAGGGTAGCTACCTTCTTATTATGCCATGCCTCTGGCCTCTCAACAGCAAAACGCACCGGTGTTCAAGTGTATTCGCGCAACTAAATACGAGAGTTCCAATTCTCTCTACCCAGCTGTCAATGGCTTAGCCATTTCCCGGCTCTCAGCTCCGGTCACCAGAAGGGTGAGTAAGTAGTGATCGGCAGCCCTGGTCCTCACCTCCATCATGAACCATTGGCTTCAATTATCAACTTCGTACCGCCAAGAAAGCAGATGAACTGACCGAGCATATTTCTATCCCCTTATGGCTATATCTTTCGACGGTATGGTGAAGCAACTGAGGGGAGCCGTGGTAAAATTTATGTGCAAGTGAAACCTGCATCTAGATGTCTCGCCGTTTACGGGTGTCAAACGAGATTAAGAGAAATTGCAGGCAAGCAGGACCAAGTAGTCCAACAACACCACGATGCAAAGTTACGACAGGTCCGAACAGATCGCAATAGTTGCTACGCCGGCAGTGCTTCCCGCCCTGGCTTACACAACGGTTGGACAGATTCGGTTGACGCCTGCAACGATCCGGCAAGTTACCTCATACATCGCGCGAGTGAAAGTAGGCATAAGTCTGTAAGGAGAAGCAAGAAACGAGCCTCTCGCAGATCACAAAGGATCAACACCAAAACATACTAAAAACACCTTGACAACCCCGCCAAGCTGACAAGACGCTAGAATCTTGTATCCCGATCTGGCATCATCCGAGTACGCGTCAAGGAGCGGGAGTAACGAGACACCTGCGCGGGGTGCCGTTGATCAACAGAGGGGAAGTGAGACAGCAAAGCCGGTCTCAGTTCTCCGGCAGCGGTACGGCAACGGGCCGTGACTAGTGCCCGCTCCTGCTCCTCCTCCCCGTTGACATTGACAGCTCTTGACCTATTTGCACGTCGTTGAGATCAAGGAAAGAGAGGAGGAGAGGGCGGTCTGGCTCGTCTATAAATGAGGCCAGAGATCCTCAGATGGAGATGAGTAGAAGAATCAGGCTCTTCTTGACCATCAAGCACTCAGATTCCAATTCGAAACCCAAGCAGAGACTTCTTCACTCTTCCTAAACTTTCCAGCAAAACATCGCCCATCATGCCGGGTCTTCCCACTGCCACTGACGAAGAAGTCGGCTTCCAGCCGATCCCGTCAAACCCCTACCTCAAGCAGCCGGGATCCGTCCCAGGCTCGATCTCCAGAGGTGCCAAGTCCTCATGGGGTTCCTTCATGCCCCCCAACACCTACGAGCCCGTCGTAGACGAAGGAATCATCCACTTCAACCCCATCATCATCCTCTTTATGTCCCTTATTCCAAAGGACGACCTTACCAAGGCTGTTCAGTCGGCACTGGGGAAAATCCCAGAATTCATGGCGAAAATGGGCATCGAAGACGCAGACACATTCTACAAGTTTGCCAACGACATGCTCAAGTGGACTCCCACCGAGAACGTCCAGGCCAAGGATGTGTACGACATCCTGTGCCTGTTCTACTTCATCCTCGACCAGCAGCCGCTGCTGCGCAAGCAGACGCTCGTCCACCCGAGCTCGGTTGGGTTGCCGCTGACCCCGCTATCGAGCTGGATCGTGGTGTTTGCGCAGCTCATCGGGCTCTTCATGGACACGCCGGCGTCCATCAACGAGAAGACCTTCCAGACGTTTGTCGACTCGCCAAAGTACATGATCAAAGAAGAGGCGCTCATCCCCGAAGGCGGCTTCCGCACCTTCAACGACTTCTTCTCCCGCCATCTCAAGCCGGGCGTGAGACCCATTGCGGATCAGGACGATGATAGGGTCATCACTTACCCTGCGGACTGCACCTACGACAATTCGCTCTACAACCAGAGCATCGTCAACGTTCAGGACACGGGTATCATTGAGATCAAGGGCCTCCCCTGGACCATCGGAGCCCTGCTCCAGGGCAGCGAGTATGCGGACTGTTTCCACGGGGGCGTCTGGATGCATGCCTTCTTGAACACGTTCAACTACCACCGGCAGCACGCGCCCGTCTCCGGGACAGTCATCGAGGCCAAGAACATCCAGGGAGCGGCGTACCTCGAAGTGGATCAACAGTGTCGTCCGATCCGCAAGCTCTTCGTGACGGCCGAGGACATTGAGAAGGACCCCAACTGCCGGCCCGAGGCGCCCGACTCCCCGGGCTACCAGTTCCTCCAGACGAGAGGCCTGGTAGTCATTGACAATCCGGTGCTCGGCAAGGTCGCCGTGCTGCCGATTGGCATGGCCATGGTCTCGTCGGTCAAGCTATCGGTCCGCGTGGGGCAGAAGCTGCAGAAGGGCCAGGAGATCTCGACGTTCTTGTTTGGCGGGTCGGACATCATCTGCGTGTTTGAGCCGCGTGCCAAGTTGACGCCTGAGCACTTTGTGCCGTCGCCCAAGGACGACTACTCGAGATACGGGAGTGTGTTAGCGAAGGCGCCTGGTCAGGGCTCGAATGGGACTTCGAATGGGTACCACTGATTGGGTTAGTTGGTTCAGGCTCATGCCTGTACTCGTACACAGTAGCTCCCGAATGGTGATATCTGAATTCTGAATCTTGTTGAGAGAGTGAATGACTCTCCCTTCCCCTTCTGCATTCGCCGTGTTTCCGAAGTGGCTGTGAAAGAGGACGGGGTTCTCAAAGTGTCCATGACTCCGAGAGTGACACAAACGTTGTTCGTGCCCAACAGTGGATTTCTTCTTTTCGTGGCCTGGCAAACCGGCCCAGAGGCCTCCACAGCTCGAGGTGGCGGCCACGGCGAGCCTCATGTTTTCAGAGTCGCGGTCTGTTCTTGAAACAAACTCAGCTCGGCGGAGACCAGACGGGAGGAGGACGAAGACCTCGGAAAGTAGAGATGCAAGGCGAAGAAGCGGACCGGCCCGTATAAGATGGAGAAAACTGCATTTGAAGGCAAATGGATCAAAAGGCGGTGACTATATTTTCCAAGATATGCATGGAAAAGGAGAAAGGTGATGCAGGTTTGCAGCTCTCTCGTATTCAGGGGTAAATGCGGAATGTCAGCCTCAATGAGAAAACGGAAGGCAGGAGAAACAAAAAGTACGTAGATGGATGCTTATTGAATGGCTGGGAAAACGGAGTCGGGCAAAGGTGTGTGTGAGGTTGGGTGACGTTGCAAAGCCACTTGCGCTTGTGCAGCTTGACGTGTCCGACGGTGGGACAAACCGACAACGCTTTGATGTTGAAGCATCCAGGCACAGGCTGCTGCATCTGTTTGCTGGTTCGGTGGTTCCGTTAAGATGCAGCTTCTTTTCGGGTACAGATGACTCATTGCTACATCCGAGACATTTCTTGCATTTTTTCTTTCTGTTGTCTTCTTTCCTCGCCGTTTCATCTTGCCCTGTGTTGAGAAAATCGCCATCATCGAGAAAAGGCAGGAACGTATATTCGTACCTACCTACCTTACGGTAGACTTGGGTAGGAAGTACGAATAATCGCGCCTGCCAGGTTCATCCAAAAATTAATTAACCCCCAGCCACCTGTTTGCGCGATTCTATGGAGAACTCTCCTAAATAAGTGGAATCCGTCACGTGCGATAAGAGCTTCAACCTATCGATAAGCTGCTGACCGTCGCTGAGCCAGGGGTGTGGCGCCAAGGAAGACCGCGTTACCCCGCGCAACCACGTCTGCGAGTCTGCAAGGACCGTCTTTCGCTGACACCTGGAACTGGAACCAGGTTGATGCTGCTGCCGCTGGGTGGTGAGCTCACAGACTGGCCAACCCACTCCTCCCGCCCGTCTCTCTCTTTTTTCTTGGGACCGCCTGCCTTGCCTCACCTTACCTTAGTCTCTCTTCACTAAAGATAGTACCTGAGGTCTATCTTGAGAGATTTCTTTGTTCTACTTCATTTTTTTTCTGAGTTGAAGCAGAAGAAGAATCGTCTTCCTTTGCTTCACACTTTCACCAACACCGAGAAATCACCCCCACTCACCTCTGGACGTCTCACCGACCGGCTCATAGGGACCCTCCCAACCCCCCTCCAAGACAAACACATTCCTCGGGGGTCCCTTTCTTTCGAGTCGAGTCGCCCACGATAGAGACACCAAACGCAATCAGACAATCCCGCATTCCTCAAATCTATCGACCCCGAACTGAAGGTCCGCTTCGCCCGTCGTCGCCATCATGGCGCCGGCAGATGGGTTCTCGGCGCCCGGCGTCGCTTCCTACGACTCCAACACCATGACCGTTGGTGATGGTACCTGGGACTTTAGCAAGAACACATTCTTGTTGCCTAACCTCGTCGGCCTCAATTTTGAGACGATGCAGTACAATGGTGAGAATACCTTACTCTCAAACACGGCGCATTCGCTGTGGCAGCCTGCCCGACTAACACGCGACCACCCACAGGCATGGGCAATCGCTTCTCGACCGTCGCTCAGT